GTTCTGGGTATTAGCCCTTTGTCAGATGGGTAGATTGCAAAAATTTTCTCCCATTGTGTAGGTTGCCTGTTCACTCTGATGGTAGTTTCTTTTGCTGTGCAAAAGCTCTTTAGTTTAATTAGATCTCATTGTCTATTTTTTTGTTTTGTTTTGTTTTGTTTTTGCCATTGCTTTTGGTGTTTTAGACATGAAGTCCTTGCCCATGCCTGTATCCTGAGTGGTATTGCCAGGTTTTCCTCTAGGGTTTTTATGGTTTTAGGGCTAACATTTAAGTCTTTAATCCGTCTTGAATTAATTTGTGTATAAGGTGTAAGGAAGGGTTTCAGCTTTCTACATATGGCTAGCCAGTTTTCCCAGCACCATTTATTAAATGGGACCATTTCTTGTTTTTCTCAGGTTTGTCAAAGATCAGATGGTTGTAGATGTGTAGTGTTATTTCTGAGGCCTCTGTTCTGTTCCATTGGTCTATTTGTCTGTTTTAGTACCATGCTGTTTTGGTTACTGTAGCCTTGTAGCATAGTTTGAAGTCAGATAGCGAAATGCCTCCAGCTTTGTTCTTTTTGCTTAGGATTGCCTTCGCAATGTGGGCTCTTTTTTGGTTCCATATGAACTTTAAAGTAGTTTTTTCCAGTTCTGCGAAGGAAATCATTGGTAGCTTGATGGGAATGGCATTAAATCTATAAATTACCTTGGGCAGTATGGCCATTTCCATGATGTTGATTCTTCCTATCCATGAGCATGGAATGTTCTTCCATTTGGTTGTGTCCTCTTTTACCCCCAGAATTTCATATCCAGCCAAACTAAGCTTCATAAGTGAAGGAGAAATAAAATCCTTTACAGACAAGCAAATGCTGAGAGGCCACCAGGCCTGCCTTGCAAGAGCTCCTGAAGGAAGCACTAAACATGGAAAGGAACAACTGGTACCAGACACTGTAAAAACATGCCAAATTGTAAAGACCATCAATGCTAGGAAGGAACTGCATCAACTAACGGGCAAAATAACCAGCTAACATCATAATGACAGGATCAAATTCACATATAACAATATTAACCTTAAATGTAAATGGACTAAATGTCCCAATTAAAAGACACAGACTGGCAAATTGGATAAAGAGTCAAGAACCATCAGTGTGCTGTATTCAGGAGGCCCATCTCACATGCAGAGACACACACAGGCTCAAAATAAAGGTTTGGGAGAATATCTGACAAGCAAATGGAAAGAAAAAAAAAAAAGCAGGGGTTGCAATCCTAGTCTCTGATAAAACAGACTTTAAACCAACAAAGATCAAAAGAGACAAAGGAGACAAAGAAGGCCATTACATAATGGTAAAGGGATCAATTCAGCAAGAAGAGCTAACTATCCTAAATATATATGCACCCAATACAGGAGCACCCAGATTCATAAAGCAAGTCCTTAGAAACATACAAAGAGACTTAAACTCCCATACAATAATAATGGGAGACTTTAACACCTCACTGTCAATATTAGACAAATCAATAAGAAGATTAACAAGGATATCTAGGACTTGAACTCAGCTCTGCACCAAGTAGACCTAATAGATATCTACAGAATTCTCTACCCCAAATCAACAAGAATGTACATTCTTTCCAGCACTACATTGCACTTATTCCAAAATTGACCGCATGGTTGGAAGTAAAGCATTCCTCAGCAAATGTAAAAGAACAGAAATCACAACAAACTGTCTCTCAGACCACAATGCAATGAAATTAGAACTCAGGATTAAGAAACTCACAAAAAACCACATAGCTACATGGAAACTGAACAATGTGCTCTTGAATGACTGCTGGATAAATAACAAAATTAAGGCAGAAATAAAGATGTTGTTGGAAACCAATGAGAACAAAGACACAATGTACCAGAATCTCTGGGACACATTTAAAGCAGTGTGTAGAGGGAAATTTATAGCACTAAATGCCCACAGGAGAAAGCAGGAAATATCTAAAATCGACAGCCTAACATTTCAATGAAAAGAACTAGAGAAGCAAGAGCAAACACATTCAAAAGCTAGCAGAAGGCAAGAAATAACTAAGATCAGAGCAGAACTGAAGGAGATAGAGACACAAAAAACCCTTCAAAAAATCAATGAATCCAGGAGCTGGTTTTTTGAAAAGATCAACAAAATAGACCATTAGCCAGACTAATAAAGAAGAAAAGAGAGAAGAATCAAATAGACACGATAAAAAATGATAAAGGGGATATCATCACAGATCCCACAGAAATACAAACTACCATCAACTATAAAAACCTCTATGCAAATAAACTAGAAAATCTAGAAGAAATGGATAAATTCCTGGACACATACATCCTCCCAAGACTAAACCAGGAAGAAGTTGAATCTCTGAATAGACGAATAACAGGCTCTGAAATTGAGGCAATAATTAATAGCCTACCCACCAATAAAAGTCCAGGACCAGACAAATTCATAGCCACATTCTACCAGAGTTACAAAGAGGAGCTGGTACCATTCCTTCTGAAACTATTCCAATCAATAGAAAAAGAGAGAATCTTCCCTAACTCATTTTATGAGGCCAACATTATCCTGATACCAAAGCCTGGCAGAGACACAACAAAAAAAGAGAATTTTAGACCAGTATCCCTGATGAACATCAATGCAAAAATCCTCAATAAAATACTGGCAAACCAAATCCAGGAACACATCACAAAGTTTATCCCCCAAGATCAAGTTTGCTTCATCCCTGGGATGCAAGGCTGGTTCAGCATACACAAATCAATAAACGTAATCCATCACATAAACGGAACCAATGACAAAAACCACATGATTATCTCAATAGATGCAGAAAAGGCCTTGACAAAATTCAACAGCGCTTCATGCTAAAAACTCTCAATAAATTCAGTATTGATGGAACATATCTCAAAACAATAAGAGCTATTTATGACAAACCCACAGCCAATATACTGAATGGATAAAAACTGGAAGCATTCCCTTTGAAAACTGGCCCAAGACAGGGATGCCCTCTCTCACCACTCCTAGTCAACATAGTGTTGGAAGTTCTGGCTAGAGTAATTAGGCAAGAGAAAGAAATCAAGGGTATTCAGTTAGGAAAAGAGGAAGTCAAATTGTCCCTGTTTGCAGGTGACATGATTGTATATATAGAAAACTCCATCTTCTCAGCCCAAAATCTCCTAAAGCTGATAAGCAACTTCAGCAAAGTCTCAGGATACAAAATCAATGTGCAAAAATCACAACCATTCCTATACACCAATAACAGAGAGCCAAATCATGAGTGAACTCCCATTCACAATTTCTACAAAGAGAATAAAATACCTAGCAATCCAGCTTATAAGGGATGTGAAGGACCTCTTCAAGGAGAACTACAAACCACTGCTCAATGAAATGAAAGAGGCCCACTAATTTTTAAAACATTCTTTTTTATAGAAACAGGGCCTCCCTGTGTTGTCCAGGCTGATCTCAAACTCCTTTCCTGAAGCAATCCTCCCACCTCCCAAATTGTTGGGATTACAGCCATAAGCCACTTCACCCAGCCCAATCACTGTCTTTTAATTTTGGAATTTTACTTGGCAAGCGCCTCCTTGTCAACATAGTAAGACTTTTTTCCCTTACCCTATTTTTATATTTATATAAGATTGGCTTTTACTTTGAGCTTTAATCTTTTGAAATGAATAATCTATGAGAGATCAACTCCAATTATTACCACTGATTTGAAATACTATTTTTATTATATTTTGCTTACTTATTTTTTTTTTTATTTTTTTATTTTTTTTTGAGATGGAGTCTCGCTCTGTCACCCAGGCTGGAGTGCCGTGGCGCAATCTCGGCTCACTGCAAGCTCCGCCTCCCGGGATCACGCCATTCTCCTGCCTCAGCCTCCAGAGTAGCTGGGAGTACAGGCGCCCGCCACTGCGCCCGGCTAATTTTTTCTGTTTTTAGTAGAGACGGGGTTTCACCATGTTAGCCAGGATAGTCTCGATCTCCTGACCTCGTGATCCGCCCGTCTCGGCCTCCCAAAGTGCTGGGATTACAGGCTTGAGCCACCGCGCCCGGCCACTGCTTACTTATTATTCATACTGCTTACTACTTATTGCTTACTCATATTCAGACATCCCATATACTAGTCTTTCTTCTAGTTTAGTGTGTTTCCTTTACCTAATTGTCTTTAAGACAGAGTGTTATGTGTTTTAAAGTTTGAATCCTTAAATGCCTGAGTGTTTTAAGAGTTTTTTTTTCCTCCTACCTTAATGTTAATTATCTAGGTATATAAGTCAGTGTTTCAAAGAATATTCTTTCACAACTTTGAAGCTACAGCTTCATTGTCTTTAAACATCTAGTACTGCTATCACTGTGATTTCTGTTGTTTTATAGACCATCTAGTTTTTACCTCTTAGGTTAAAAATTCAGGAGCAAAGATTGATCACCTTTTCTATTTTGCTTTTGTTTTCTTAGAAATAATACCAACAATACCATTAGGTTGAATTTTGAGGATGGTTAAAATGAAGGGTGTTTTTTTTTTTTTTTTTAACTTCTACGTTTCCCCAACACCTTAAGTTTTTTTTAAAAAGGAAGGGCCTGCCAAAGTTAAATAATTTTTCCTCCTGTTGTCATTCTACAGTGTTTTAAAATGCTTTCATCAATGAGTAATATCCAACTTCCTAAGCAGCATAATACTCCCACCCCTTTTGGCTACTCCAGAGTTTACATATTTTGAATTGGAATATGACTTCTTAAAAAATTTATGCATTAAATCTTCTGGATGGAGCAGTAAAAAAAAAAAAAAGCTCTTTTTCAAAGCAGGTGGTAACTTTAGTTTGATGATGAACTATATATATCTAACTTATACCTACAACAATTCTTATTCTGGTGTTTCAAAATTTGTAACTGTTTTCCACCTAAGTTTTAATTGAAAAAAATATAATAACTTTGCCTTTTAAACTACAGCATATATTTTACCAACCTTTTATTTAGTTATTTTTTTATTTTATTTTATATTTTTTTACTTAGACTTTGTGTGGACAGTAATGACCTCACGTTTCCGATTGCCTGCTGGCAGAACCTACAATGTACGAGCATCAGAGTTGGCCCGAGACAGACAGCATACAGAAGTGGTTTGCAACATCCTTCTTCTGGATAACACTGTACAAGCTTTCAAAGTCAATGTAAGTATTTTGTGTCTTTTAAAAAATAATCTCTGGCTATAAGTCTGAATTCAGATATATATGTAAACTAGGATTATTAAATTATAGTAGAGTTTGAAAAGTCTTATTCAAGTAAAAAAGTCTTTCTGGTGCAGGATTGTATCAGGTGCATGCTCTCATTCAAACTGGGTCTTTTAAAAAAGTGTTGCTCACTGGACATTGTTGAGAAACCAACAGTGTGTCTTATGATTAGTAAGCAGATCCATAGTATGTGTGCGATTTTCATAAGTGTGCTTGAGGGGGCCTGAAAAGAATTTGCTGTTCTAAATAATTTATACATTTTTATGGTAATTTTACTTGTACTGCCTGTGAGTAAAAGTTTTGCTGAACAAAAGTAAATGACAGCCCTGATCTTATCTGTCATCGAAATATTTATTTAACAAATATTTGTTCATCCTATTTGTGTCTAGCTTTATTTGCTCATTGTTATTTGTAAGTTTTACCCATGTGGTGTGTTAACAGTAGTTAGTTCATTGTTATTGCTCTGTAGTACCCTTTTGTATGAATATACTGTAGTTTACTTATCCTTTTATTTACCGTTTACTTGTCCAGTTTATTGTTGGTATATATTTGGATTTGTTTCCACTTTGGGCTCTTACAAATAATACTGCTGTGAACATTCTTGTACATATCTTGATACATATAAAAAAATGTATTCTCCCTTTTTATTTAAAAACTTTTCAACCTATATAGAAAAGGTGAAATAATACTATGATGAATACCCATATACCCTTTACCTAGATTGACTCAGTGTTAACATTTTGCACATTTGCTTTATGTTTCCTTCTCTCTTCATGATTTTTTTCCCTGAACCTTTTGAAAATAAGTACTTTAGCATCCCAAGAATCTCATAATTACCACATACCTAAATTTAACTTTATGAAAATAATAATATATTCAGTCTGTATTCAAACTGGAGTTCTTATTCTTCAGGATGTTTTGTTATTTCCAAATTCTTCAGGGTGTTTTCTGCTGTATTACTTGGGTATTTCTATACTTCGAAATCTTTAAGTGATATAAAATATGAATCTTACACCAGGGCCAGTCAGGGGGTGAGGGACTGGGGGAGGGATAGCATTAGGAGAAATACCCAGTGTAAATGATGAGTTGATGGGTGCAGCAAACCAACGTGGTACATGTATACCTATGTATCAAACCTGCATGTTGTGCACGTGTACCCTAGAACTTAAAGCATAATAATAATAAAAAAATCTTTCTTATTTACCAGTTTAAGCTTAAAATTTTCTGTGTACTACTATATAAGCAGGATTATGAATTTATCTGAAATTCCAAGCTGTTTCACATTGAAAAAGGGGCTGCAGAGTAGTGAATGTTCCATCATTATCATTAAAAATACCTTCAACATTATCTAAAATACCCAACTGATTTAGTGTGCTTTTCTAAAAAGCTAAACTTTTTATTTCTTTTGTATTCTATCATCTGTTAATACATAGTTGGAATATAGTTTGCCAAAAAGAGATAATATAAAAGAAGAGAATTCTACTTCATACAAATTTCTATTTAATAGAAACTCTCATGTATTAGACAGTTGATATAAGAAAATAAGCCTTTTTTCCTATTATTCATGTGTTAGAATTCTTTTTTGGAAAAGGCATAAACTTAATAACTTTTGTCTTAGCTTAAATTTAATTAATATTTAGTTTTCATTTTAACTATAGTTTTGACTATATTTCAAAATATTGTAAAACGGTTTGGTATGTTTCCCAGCTAGCATAATTTTCTGTTGAGCACTTTAGTTGACAGTAGTATGCTGTATTTTTCAATGTAGTAATCAATGTGCTGTCTAGTTACTCTTTTAGAAAGACATATATATTTAATGTACTTTTATATGTTTATATTTTAAAAATATATATTACATATATTTAGCTGGCAGTTTCAATAGACCTGGATATATTACCTAGAATGGTAAGTAAGCTTACCATTCTGTGGTGCTAGAAACTTTCTCTACCATTATCTCAGGTCATCAAAAAACTTGAGGAACAGTGTATATAAAAAATTGTTGGATGTGTAGTATATTTATTCCTCTGGGTATTTAAACCCAGGCCATTCAAACCAGAAGAGTTGCTTTGTGCTTTTAGATAGATTATTTATCTTTTAATCTATGTGAATAAATCTCCAGTTATATACTTTACAACCTGTGGAGTGGTATGTGGCAGCCTGCAAACTAATTGGGGGTTTGAGAGTTCTGGTGTTTGTTTTCTTGTGTCCACTCAGTACCATTAAGTCTCAGAAATCCTTTATGGGCATCTGCCAGGTTCACCAGCATTTCCCTGTTCACCAGGAAGGAGAACTACTCAGTTTCCTTTGGAGACTACCAAGCAATGATTTATAAAGTCAACCATTGGAGTCATTGCCTTTCATGAAAGATTTTTGCACCACAGGTAAAATATTCATGTTGCCAAAGCCTGCTTTTTTTCATCTGGCAATTATCTCATCAAAGCTGTTTCTGTATTTTCTGAGGGAAATTTTTGTAGTGAAGGAGTTGATATAACTTCACTAGATCTTGCTTTTTCCCTGCTGTGGACATAGGAGTGATAAGCCTATTATCACTGGGTTTGTGTTGGCTTGCGTTGTTTCAGTGTCAAGTCCTATTTTCACTATGGCTTTGGTATAACCATTTATTTACTGTAGCCAACCTATGGAGTGTATTGGCCCTCTTGTGCCATGAATTCATTGTCACTAAGTGAATTCATGGCTTGAGAATTCATCTCACCAAATATGTTTGCATTAACATCTCACTAAATATGTTTGCATTAAATACTTTAAAATGCATAGTGTCTGTACTACATGGATTGATGTCTTCAATCTATGAGGATTTTTACCCCTAATTTTTGACTTGACTTTTACTTTGGTGCAGCTGATTAACATTAGCCTTAATGATGAACAAGGAAGGGCTGGGAGGGCCAGCTTATTTTAGTTACTGTGACTGCATAAGAAATTACCCTAAAACTTAGTGGCATAAAATAACCATGTATTGTCCTCAGGGATTCCGTGAGTCAGAGATTCACAGACACACAAAAAAGGCTTAATTTTGTTCCATTATGTGTCAGGCCTCAGCTGGAAGACTCAAAGACTGGAGGCTAGAATCATTTGAAGGCTTATTCACTCACATGGCTGTTACCTGAAACCTTAGCTGAGGCTGAGGCACCTATATATGACCTCTTTATGTCCTGGACTTCTTCATAGCACAGTGGCTGGTTTCTTTCTTTCTTTCTTTTTTTTTTTTTTTTTTTGAGATGTAGTTTCACTGTTGTTGCCCAGGCTGGAGTACAATGGCGCAATCACAACCTCCGCCTCCCAGGTTTGAACAATTCTTCTGCCTTAGCTTCCCTAGTAGCTAGGATTACAGGCATGTGCCACCACACTTGGCTAATTTTGTATTTTTAGTAGAGACAGGATTTCTCCTTGTTGGTCAGACTGGTCTTGAACTCCGGTGATCTGCCTGTCTTCACCTCCCGAAGTGCTAGGATTACTGGCATGAGCCACCATGCCTGATCACAGTGGCTGGTTTCTTTTTTTTTTTATTTTTTTTTTGAGACGGAGTCTCGCTCTGTCGCCCAGACTGGAGTGCAGTGGCGTGATCTCGGCTCACTGCAAGCTCCGCCTCCCGGGTTCATGCCATTCTCCTGCCTCAGCCTCCCGAGTAGCTGGGACTACAGGCGCCTGCCACCTCGCCCGGCTAATTTTTTTGTATTTTAGTAGAGATGGGGTTTCACCGTGTTAGCCAGGATGGTCTCGATCTCCTGACCTCGTGATCCACCTATCTCGGCCTCCCAAAGTGCTGGGATTACAGGCGTGAGCCACCACACCCGGCCAAGTGGCTGGTTTCTAAGGGTGAGCATCTTTAGAGAGAGAGAGAGCCAGACTGTAGCCATATTGCCTTTCCAATCTGGCCTTGGAAGTCATGTAATGTTACTTGTTCTATGTTCTATTTGTCAAGGTTGTCAGAGAGTTAAGTGAAAGGAAATAGACTGCATCTTGATAAAAAGTGGAGGATCATCATGTGGGATCAGAAATGTTGTTCTGGACTTACTGGGAAAATACAGTCTGCCAGTATGGCATCCTGGTGGAGGTGTCCATTTTGCCTCTTCCTCATCACTTACTGTACCCATCTTCCTACTTTCATAGATACCCAGAAATTTCATCCCAGAACTGTCTGCTTTGCTTCTTAAGGGGTAGCTACCATATTTAAGGAGTCAGAGATGATGAAAGATGGGTTTAATTTTTATTACTTGCTCTTTGTGTTTGTTGTTTAAATTATTTATCCAGGTGTGCCATACTTTTAAAAAAATGTGTATGTGTATGTATGTGTGACACACACACATCTGTCTTTTAAATTTGATTTATATATGTTTTATTTTATAAGTGTATGTATGTACATGTAATTGACTTATTCATTTACACAATTTTCAAAGCCATATAGTTTTATAGGTCTTGTGTTTGTAGAGCCTCACTGCCAGTTTTCTTAGAGCTGAGTGAGAGGAAGGGATTGGAGAGGACTTCCCTATTCACTATGTAGACTGTCTTATTTTGCAGGCTCTGTCTGTACAATACAGGCAGTATAATCTGCCTGTACAATTAGTACAGTACAAATTAATCAGCTACACATGATGCTCCTGATTCCAGAGTCGTCCTGGTTCATTTTCTTCAGAGAGTATATCTCTAGTTCTCATGGTGATTGGCTGAAGGGGAGGGGAAGTGAGAGAAGTCACGTAGGGGCTGTTGCTTATATAGACTCTCAAACAACATTTTTTCAGTCCTGACACCTGCCTTCTCTTTTTAAAAGATAATTTGTACCCCTATTTCTAGAGTTTGTGGGGTAAAGAACTTGCTCCTAGGCCTTTCTCACACTGTTAGCTTTCGTTTAGCTTTTTTTCTGTCACTTAAGTTAAGGTGACCATTTAAGTTGCTTTTCATTTTCCAAAATTTTTTTAGTGTAG